GAGAGAGAGAGAGAGAGAGAGAAATAATCAGCAAAGCATATTGGGTATATTCTAAAAATCTTACATACAATTTATCTGATCATATAGGCTACTCACCCTTATGCAATAGATGTGTATGACTTTCTTCATTGAACACAAATGTAGATTTGAAGAATTTTCTCTGTCTGTTCAAACAATGCAAATGGGTGAAAACATCCAAAAAAGTTCCAAAATGCACAATCAGTTGTTTTTTTTTTCTTTTTTGAAGATGGCAAAGGAAACGATGAAGCACTTTCCTGACATTCCACAACATTTCAGTATCAATCCTCCTGGGGATCATATAAGCAACCTGAGAAGACAAATGGCAGAGGAAATACTCCTTGGAACAGGTTTATTGGCCATTAACAAATATACCCTTGTTGCTTAAAGATATATAAATCATTTAAAAAAACATTTTTTTAAAAAGTATTCACTAAGTTTTCATTTCAATATTAGAATCCAAAGAAGAGTTCTGCAGTACCTGCGGCCTGAAAGATCTCCCCAAACCAACAGATGCTGTTGTTATTGATTGGGTAAATATGAACAGGTGCACTCAGTAATTTGCATAGGCCTGCTGTTACAAATTTGTGTAGTTGCACAAAGTAATTTCACTACTGGGCTCTGTAATCTAACATCACCATAGACACACACAGCCTTTGAACCTAAATTGAGTGTTGTAAACCATAATAAGCTGAGTCTACTCCAATCATTGGAGGACAGTAGGCTAATTTTACCAATTGGCTAATTTTACCAAAGTAATGGTGAGAACACTTTTTTTGAAGTTCACCAGTTTTGGTTTTTCCATTGGCACTTAACTCAAATTTGCCAAATTCTTGTTCCATTTAGGCTACTTATACTGAACAAACAATAACCATTAAAACAAGTTACTGCTTCAAAACAACATGAATTTCATAGCTGAACTTCAATAAAATAGTCATTGATTGAACAGCATAGTAACCATTTTTCATTAATAAAAATAAAAACAGCTTGTAGCAGCTTGACTGGAAAATTGTGCGCCAGCTTCAATGTTCTAACAGAAACGTAGGCTATTAATTCAAACAAGTTATTACCTTGTACAAGGACGTGCAGAGGGTTCCACAGAGGTAGTGGCACACACACATTCCCGTCACCATTTTGCGTGTTCTTGAACTAACTTGGATTTAATTTAAGCTACGGTAAATGAACATGTGCATAAAAGTAAACTGAACACTGTTTACCCTTAATGCAACTTCTTTTGATGCACAATTTTTCAGAGTGCTAGTCAGTTCACATACCACTCGACACGATTAGCTGTTGTATTGTACATGATGACAACATATGTTTAATTGAATAGGCTATAGCCGTAGCTAGCTTCTGCCGTTCTCGATCGGTTTGATTGCTTGTCTGTCAGTCAAGGCAGGCGTAAACCCGTACGTAGCAATGCGTTGTGGCAACAATGAACTGGGCTGCGTTTCCCAAAAGCTTCGTTAGCCTAAGAAGTTCGTAAAAATGATCGTACGACTGATCTTAATATTACGGTCTGTTTCCCAAAAGCATCGTAACTTAAGTAGGCACTTGTAAATCATCGTAGATCTACGAGTGCTCTGGAGTAATCGTAAAGCCCTCACTAGTGATGTCCGGTTCGCGAACGAATCGTTCGATTTAACTGGTTCTTCTTAGTGAACCGGTTGAACCAGTTCACCAAATCGGACTGAATCGTTGAAAAGTGTAAGCATTAATCCACAAATTACTTAAGTTATTCACTTTTTAAACGTGGCTGACACTCCCCTCTGATTCGAAATAAACCAATATCCCGGAGTAATTAATTTACTCAAACAGTACACTGACTGAACTGCTGTGAAGAGATGAACACGAGCAGAGCAGCATCTGTGCAGCAAGCCGGATAATGAACGTACACACCCACTGCTGGAGCGGTTCTCGTTCTTGAGTCAAGAACCGGTTGCATTGGTTTTCGGATCACCGGTACACTCAACCGAGAACCGTTTCTTTCGGACACGTCCGATTTGAGAACCGATGAGCTGATTCTCGTTCTCGAGTCAAGAACCGGTTGCATCGGTTTTCGGATCACCAATACACTGAACCGAGAACCATTTCTTTCGGACACGTCCGATTTGAGAACCGATGAGCTGATTCTCGTTCTCGAGTCAAGAACCGGTTGCATCGGTTTTCGGATCACCAGTACACTGAACCGAGAACCGTTTCTTTCGGACAC